ACCCCACCAAACTTTCCTTTTCTCTCTCTCCTCTCCTCTCCTCTCCTCTCCTCTCCTCTCCTCTCCTCTCCTCTCCTCTCCTCTCCTCTCCTCTCCTCTCCTCTCCTCTCCTCTCCTCTCCTCCCCTCCCCTCCCCTCCCCTCTCCTCTCTTCTCTTCTCTTCTCTTCTCCTCTAGTCTCCTCTCCTCCCCTCCCTTCCTCTCCCCTCCCCTCTCCTCTCTTCCCTTCTCTTCTGCTTTCTCTTCTCTTTTCTTTTTTAATGTTGCTTTTGGGGATTGAACTCAGGTTCTTGTGTTTACAAGGCGAATCACCATACCAACCAAGATCTCTCCCCAATCCACACATGACTCTTAAAGGACAGAATAGAGCTGAAAACAGGACTAGTTGGACAAGACTATGAATGTCCCTCTGATTTACAAAGCATTAAAATCCTAAAATGATTCGGACCTGTGGCTGGGTTGCTCTGAATGTATTTCTTGTCTACAGAAGTCAGAATATAGGCCTGCTAGGGCCTTAGGCTCAAGTAACTTCTAGGATCCTAGACATGAAGAGCACTTGCAAGCCAACATCAGGCCACCTGCATGCCCACACTAAATATGAAATTTCTTAGGAAATATACGCTAGAAATGGATTTTCCCCTGGAATGCAGCATCATGCTTTCTAAGAATCTCTCGGTTGCCTGTGGTTACTGCAAGTCTCCTGCTTCAAACCAATAACTGTAGTGTTAGTAGGAAACTCAGAAGACATGAGGACAGACAGCGTTCATTATTAATGAAAGTGCTGCTGCCATGCAAGGAAACTGAGCACTGAGCAGTTATTCCCTCTTTGTCTTATCTGCGCATCCCTGCATCTATGTCCTCTGCTGTTTACGGCTGCCTCTGCTGGCCTCACCAGAGAGGAGAAAGCTAATTAGCAAACACGCTGTGGTCTTAATTAAGCTTCTCTTTTCTATGGTACAGTTTGCACGGGTCCCACTTCAATGCACATTGAGACACTTTCTGCTTTAACTCCTGTTACAGAAACGGATTCATATGCTTTGTCTTCAAAACATGGTCCAGTTAAACTTCATTTATCCAATGCAATGATATATTTTCACAGATTTTAAAAAGTTGTAATATGAATAGACTTCACTCACAATAGTATTGTCTCCACCCCCACTCCCTCTTCCCCCTGTTCCTTTTCAACTGAAAACCTATATTAGTTTTCCAGGGCTGCTAGGACAATGTATCAGAGGTCAGGGGGAGGGGGGGCAGCAGGGATTGTAAAGAACAGAAACCTTTTCTCACAGGGCTGGGGCTGGATGTTTGACGTCAGCAGATCAAGATGTGCACAGGGCGGACTCCCTAAGTGAAGAGAGAGCTCTCAGCATCATGAAGGAGTGCTGGTTACCAGCTTGCTCCTCATGGCTTGCTCATCCTGCTTTTTATAGAACCCAGGACCACTAGACCAGGGTGGTACCACTCACAATGGAGGTTGACCCTCCCACAACAATCATAAATTTAAGAAAATGCTCTACATGCTTGCCCACAGCCCAGTCTCTTAGAGTTCCTCAATTGAAGTTCCCTCCTCTCTGATGATTCTAGCTGTGTCAAGCTGACATAAAACTATCCAGTAAAATATCTAAAACTATTTTATGTAAATATGTCATTACTCATTGAGGTATTCGTTCTTCCAGAAGACCAAGTTCCTTATAGCCAGGTACTCAGCTTGCTAACTGCTGATTTGTCTAGTACAGTAGAAGCCAACACATTAGATGCCCTGAAAATATTGTTTTTTCTTCCAGTTAGGTGTTGAGCTCCTAAAGGACATGCCAATGGCTTAATCACTTTGTCATCCTGTGTATATCAGAGTTTTATGGCTGCAAGGAACAAAACTCATCTTTGTGCATTTAATTTTGCTGAATAGGGTAGCTCACTGAGTCAGGGGGAGGATCAGAAAACTAGGCTAGGGATACTTGCATGGGGTCACTGTTTGTCACACTACCACTGTTTCCAAGGAAGTGAGAGGCTTGTCTCTGTCATAATGTTTCCACTGAGTGGACTGTGCATTCTCTGTGGATGAATCAGACAACTGTGTGGGCACACCTAACCGGCTGAGCCCTGAATTGTCAATAAAAATATAAGTGGCTCTTGAGTTAGTGAGTAGGTAATGTTTACAACCTGGTCAGGGAGGCTGGAAACTTCTTCAAACAATGGCACTGAGTCAGATCAGAGGACTTAGATAAATGATTGTAGTTCTCTTGAGCTTACCACACTCTAATAACATAGAAGTAAAAGCAGATTAAGAGCTGAAGTGTGAGATATGCAGTGTGGCTTTTACCTTTAATCCCAGCACTTGGGAGGAAGAGGCAGGGGAATATCTGAGTTCGAGACCAGCCTGGTCTACAGAGCAAGTTCTAGGAGAACCAGAGCTATACAGTGAACCCTGTCTAGAACTGCCCCCCCCAAACCAACAAATCAACAATCAAACAAACAACTGAAGTGTAAAGCTGAGGATGCAGCTCAGTACTAGGACACTTTCCTAGCGTGGACAAAGTCCTATGCTCAATGCTCAGAACTGCAAAACAAAAGGAAAACCTTGACGTTTGCAAGCACAGTCTTGACCTGGCTCTGGATACTACAGTTTTAAGGTGAAACACACAGGGGTGGGGAAGATATAGTTGAAAAGAGCACAAACTATGATGTCACATACTATGCAGGAATATCAAATTTGTCCCCAAGGGTATAGGATTCTCAGTAGAAAGTAATGTTCAGCAGGCAGAGACCCATTGTTTCCCCACTGCCCAGTACACAGTGTGTGGTATACAGCACGTGCTGTTTATTGACATCCAGAAGCCCGCAGAGCTAGGGAACCCAGATCCATTTGGTGGCCAGTCCCATCCACACACTGATTTCTCTGGGTGCTGAAGGGTCTATTGATTACTGATTTATTTTATTTTATTTTTTATTTTTTTTGCTGTTGATGGACAGGATCTCTTTTAGGACCTCGTGTCTGTGGAGTGTGACTTCCTGTCCAGCACCTCCTGAAGGGTCACATTATTAAATAAATGCTGGCTCTCCAGAGAAGGCCTGACACGGTCTCAGGAATTTGAAGCTCTGCTGTAACCTTCCTATGTGAGCTAGCTAGGTCCTCCCCATCCCCATTTTCATATGAAAAATTTCCAGGATTATCAAATGACACACGTCTTCTGCAGGTGTCCAAATGAGGCTGACACTGGAAGAAATAAATACTTGAAGGATTCGAGTTGAGTGCCCTGGAATCTTCCACTGTGCACTCGCTGCCTTCTAGGTTCCTCTGTCGGGTACTTCACGCCCCCTAGTGGTAGATGGGCTGGCCTAGCTTGTATTTCCAAGAGTGCATCCATTGACTTCTGGGAACAATCCGTTTTCTAATCAAACAAGGGCAGGAAACAAAAACCCCTTCAGGACATTAGTCCAAAGTACAGTTCTGAAACATGAGGGGAAAGTTCTCTAGAAAAAGACTTTGGGTGAACTTGAAGGAAAATGAAGTGTCTTTTGCAGGACCATTTCCCGGGGGGTACTATATTCTCCGTGTGTAGCTGGTGTTCTGGGGCCAATACTCCATAGCTTGCTACTCCGTTTCTTAGATGTGGGGCGGAGGATGGCTACTCTAGGCAGAGGATGGCTTCTCTGCTTTGAACCACGTGAGTAGCTGCCAAGGTCTGCATGCAGTGGACAAGAGAAGCATCCTCAGCCTGGCACTTACCCTGGTCACCAGGAGGTACCCTGGTCACCAAGGGGCTGCTACCCCATTCTTTCTTCTGAAAGTGAATGACAGTTGAGTGAGAGGTGGGTTAAGAATCTTTATGGCTTTTGCCATTCTATCATGCTCTGCCTTGGAGGGTGACTTCTTTGGGAGGTGTCTTGGTGTAATTCACATTTCCATCAGGACCTTGACTTTAGAATCAAACAATTCTAGCTCTACCATAATTCATTTGTTTGCATGTGACCTTGAGATATTAGCATCCTCTTGGGTTTAATTATGTCAGAAAAGTATTACTAGCTGGGCATTGGTGGCGCACGCCTTTAATCCCAGCACTCGGGAGGTAGAGGCAGGTGGATCTCTGTGAGTTCGAGGCCAGCCTGGCCTATATAGTGAGTTCCAGGACAGCTTCCAAGACAATACAGAGAAACCCTGTCTCGAAAAACCAAAAAAAAAAAAAAAGTATTGCTAACCATGCTACATAGATGAGCACAAAACCCATGCTCATCTATGAAGCATGATTGGCAATACTTTTCTAACATAATTCTGTGTAATCTAAGCATCTAATGTATATTATCTATATAATGTACATGATGCATATATAAATGTAAGTCCATACATATACACATGTGATGTCTAATGTGATGGTGAATGCACTATTGGTCCCATGTACATTGAGTGTGAGTGTGTGTATGTGTGTGCCCTTACATATACACATGTGATGTCTAATGTGATGGTAAATGTACTATTGGTCCCATGTACATTGAGTGTGTGTGTGTGTCCTTACACATACACATGTGATGTCTAATATGATAGCGAATGTACTATTGGTCCCAATGGTGATCCCTTCTGCACCATCACCTTCCCACATTCTCCTCAGGCCTCACTTTGCCATGGAACATAAACGGTCTCTCGTGTAATAGTTGGTTTCAGTGTCAACTTGCTACAAACGAGAAGCACCTGAGTAGGGAGCTACAGTTGAGGAATTTTTTAAAATAGAAGTTTATTGTCCCCCAAAGTCATCACAAATGGTACTTATAATCCAGGATTTTCGTTCTGCAGCAGGGTAACTCGGGTCTTAACTCATCAGCCTGCATCACCATTCTTCTGGGCCTGAGAGACAGAACAAGTAACACCTGTCCTAATCTGAACTCTCTGAGTTAAAGAAATTTTGGATTTCAACCCAGGACCCATTTTCCTTAATCACGATGTGATGTGAGCATGTGCAGACCTCATCGTGTAATAGAAGCCCTTGATCTCTCCCAATATGACTACAGGTAGTGCCGACAGTAGCGTGTTCCTCATCATCCGTCAACCTGGAGGCTCTTCATTCTCTCCCCATGGAGTGGAGACTCACCTTTACGCGCATGCGATTGAAGTCCCTCCAAAGGGATGCTCTGGAGCCCTTCGTAGTGGCTGTGTGCCTCTTCAGATGATGCTGACATCTTCCGGAAGGCTGACAGTCTGACTGCAAGAATGCTCCTCATTTCTGAAGCACTTCCAGAAAATACTGGGGAATTCTCTTAATTGACTTAATTGATGCCAGATAACCTACCCCAAATGGGAGCAGTATGCAGTACTTTCTGGTGGCAGCACATATTAAAAAAAAATAGGCATGGCAAAAGCAAGACTTCTCACCTGTTGCTTTCGCTCTTGCCACTGAAGTTAATTTTTCCCCTTAGCTGATTCCAGACCAGTGTCTCCAGGCTGCCTTTGGTGACTGTTCTCCAGAACCCCCCCATCCCCATCCCATCATTCTCAAACCGAATTTGGACTTGGACTGAAAGGGGTGAGTGGGGTTTCAGCCTCTCCAGTGTTCCAGTGTGGGACTGTCACCGTGGGGCTACTCTGATGGCTGAGGCTTCAGCCCCAAGGACAGAGCAGTTACCAGGTGTTCTGAGCCTCTCAAGTGTGATCCAGCTGTTGTCACTATTTTGAAGTAAGCTGGTTTAACAAACTGGTTTTTTTTTGTTTTGTTTTGTTTTTTGTTTTTGTTTTTTCGAGACAGGGTTTCTCTGTGGCTTTGGAGGCTGTCCTGGAACTTGCTCTGTAGACCAGGCTAGTCTGGAACTCACAAAGATCCGCCTGCCTCTGCCTCCCGAGTGCTGGGATTAAAGGCGTGCGCCACTAATGCCCGGCTCAAACTGTTTTAATATATATTTATTCTATTGGCTCTGCACTCTAGAGTACCCTGACCACCCCAGGTTTCACATATTGTCCTTGCCTTAGAGAGGGACCAACAACCAGACACAGCTCACCTGCTTCCTAAGTTTCTCAGGTTTGAGCTTTTATTAAGCAGGGTTGTGCTTTGTTTTCTAATTAATCATATATTATTATTTTAGTTTCTTGAGACAGGGTTTCTCCAGGTAGCTGCTGGCTGTCCTAGAATTCAGGCTGTCCTAGACCAGGCTGGCCCCGAACTCAAGAGAGATCCACCTGCCTCTAGCTCCAGAATGCTGGGGATTATAGGCATGTCCTGCCAACCACCTCCCCAACCCACCCCGCTTTGTTTTGTTTTTAAATGGCAGAGTGTCGTTCCTTTGCTGCAGCAGCAGGTGATAAGACACGAACCACCAAACATCAACAAACACACATGGAGTTTAATTGGGAAAGGGAGCAAAGGGAGAGGTAAGTGATAGCCAACCAGGAACAGATGGAAGGGGGAATAAAGGAGAGAAGAGGGAGACAGGAAAAGTCTGGTCTGCCCCAGGAGAACAGCAGGAAAGAGAGGATTGGGAAAGAGGAGAGAGCAGAAAGAGAGGAGCAGGTAGAAAAAGACAGTTAAGTGGATGGGACCTTTCTCTTAAAAGGGTCCTTTGCATCTCCATGGAACCCTGGGCCCACCAGGGTACTGCCTGAGTGCATTCTGCCAGGTGACAGGGGCAGGCCAGCATAATGCCTGAATCCTTACATGGAGCATCCGAGACTTGGGATTCCTCCTGTACCTTGGTGACACAATCTCATTTTTCTGTAGCTAACGACACTTAACCCAGAGAAATTGTTATCTGACCAGGCAGAGAAATCACTGGCTTAGAAAAAATTGGTTGTGCCGGGCGTTGGTGATGCACACCTTTAATCCCAGCACTCGGGAGGCAGAGGCAGGCGAATCTCTGTGAGTTCAAGACCATCCTGGTCTACAGAGCAGGTTCCAGGACAGGCTCTAAAACAACAGAGAAACCCTGTCTCAAAAAAACCAAAAAAAAAAAAAAGTCAAAAAAAAATTGGTTGTACCCACATAAATGTAGAAGGGAGGAGGGGCTTATGGAGGCATGGTGAGCCCTCTTCCCAAATCATGTGCTAAACTAGTGCAGGTCCAGGCCAGTAAGTGTTTTCTTCACCTGCTGGGACCACCACAGAATGCCTGGGGAGCCCAGAACTAAGAACTCTTCTCTTTTCCCACTATGTCAAGATTTTCCACTTAACTTTCTCAAACAACTTGTTGTTGTTAGGACAATGAAACATTCTATTCACCTCTGGGGTCTAGTGATGAAAAAAGGTTAAACACACACACACACACACACACACACACACACGAGGGGGGGGAGGGGCAAACTTGCCCTTTGCGATGGAATGCATCCTGTTTGCCCAGGTGCTGTCCCCAAGTCACCCACTTTTTCCTCTAAGTGTCCTTCCTGACTCATGGAGACAACACATCACATATAGTAAACTGTAGAGAAAGAGTGGGAAAAGAGAGAAGGAAAATGGGAAATTATGATAATGGCAATAATTCCTTTCAAGGTCTTAAATATTTCATTCAAGAAATATTTATTGAATACCTACTATGGCTAGACACTCTTCTAAATAATGGGATGCATTGATGAGAAAAGAGACATCCCATGACTTCACAGAGTCTCATTACAGTGAGGGATGGTGCTAATTAATCCTTATTAAAATTCAATATTCTGCTCATCATTTTAAAAATACTCTGTTTTACAAATATTTATTCTGGTCACTGCATTTTGTTGTTATCTCAAATTGTCTGTCATGGCCCCAGGTGCATGATGGGAGATGTATGGTGGATGCGGCCTGGATTATTCCTCTCAGCTGGATGCACCTATTCCTGCAGCTCCAAGTGTGCGCAGCTAGTAGCGGCCCACAGCTGAGTTCTCCACCCTTTGGGCCCTCAGCTGCAGAGGGGCTCATGTCCCTCCCTTGGGGTAAGGCAATAGTCAATTACTAATCAAGGTGGAGAGTGAGATCCTAGACTAATCAAAGTCAGGATAAGGCTGTCAAATGCAAGGTAGACATCTCACCTAGCAGTCAAGTGAGAATGACTGGTGCTGAAACTGACCAGAGAACAGTGGAAATGACCAGAGTCCCTAGAGGCAAGACATGGCCGGCAATATATTACTCGATCTATATCAGTGATCTTCCAAAATGTCATCTTGTACCCAGAGCATGAATTCTAATAGGTCTTAATAATAAAAAACCCGGAGTCAGATATTGGGTGAGAGGCTGAAAGATCAGAGAAGCATAGCAGCCAGCCACTAGCTCTTACCTCTACCTCAGAATGAAGGGGAGATCCTGTCCTCAGATTGCATCCTCAGACTGACTGCCTCAGACTAACTGCTGCTCAGACTACCCTGAGCTCCTGTGCTCTCCAGCCTTATATTCCTCTCTCCGCCCAGCCATATCCTTTTCTGTCTCCAACTCCTTGGTGTTAGGATTAAAGGCATGTGACTCCAAGTACTGGGATCACCTTTGTGTGAACTGTTTCTTTTAGACTGGATCAATCTGGTGTAGCCCAGGGTGACCTTGAACTCACAGAGATATGCCTTCCTGTCTCCCGACTGCTGGGATTAAAGGTGTGTACCACCACCACCTGGCTAACTAGTGGTTTAGCTCGGCACTCTGATCTTCAGGCAAGCTTGATTTGTTAGATCATAAATAAAACATTGAAAAGTTTCTGCACCCTGATCTTTGCTGATGCAGCAATCCAAATGAGACCAAATCAAATTAGAAAAAGCCCATGTTTAATGGATACAACATTCCCAGATGGCCTTCCAGCCCCACCCTCCCTTCCCCCCAGAGGAGATGGGAAAGAGAGACCGGAAAACTACAATCTATTTCCTGGGAGGCAGTTTAAATACCCTGCGGGCGTGGCCTTGAGCATCTCTTGGGGAGGGGTCATCATTTGGTGGGCTTTCTGAGATGCAGCGGAGTTCGGAGAGAGATAGGGGAGGGGAACTAGGGTGGAACTTCCACCAGAACATTCCAGGGGCTGGGGTGAAGCTCCCACCATAACAAAGATCACCAGCAGCACCAGGTGGCACCTTAGAAACCGTGAGGAAGAAGTCAGTTTTGAGAGTCCTGCCCAGGCTTACTGAATAGGAGATCCGAGACAAGGGACTGCTATATAGCTCCCTGTATCCTAACAAGCCCCAGGAGATTCTGATGCATGGGGTCAACATAGTGAAAGAAAGGGCCACGAAGAAGTTTAGAGAAACCATCCCAGTAAAGTCACAATTCTGTGGCTAGCTCCTGGACGTGATTCAGTGCTTAGACTCAAGAGAAAGGCTGTTCTTCCATACCTTAGCAACCCTGAAGGACATCGATTTTCAAGTCCTTCCCCAAGGGCACCAACTTGGGTAGCCACCCATGCTTTTCCACTGCTGTGACAGAAGCAACTCTTCTGATATTCCTCTGGCTCATGGTTCCAGAGGCATTTCTTCAAACACGGCCAACGGACATGGTGGAGCTCAGTTCAACAGGAGAGAGCACGTACAAAGGCCTGAGTTGGCCCCACAGTATCTCAAAGCAATGACCAAAATAATGGCAGGTCCTATAATGCCCTGAAACAGACCCAGGCTTGCCCAAGTATGCCCAAATATGACAAGACAAAAATACAAAATGTATTAATGTAACTGCTGCTTGTTTGATCAATCACGTTAGAACTGACATAGCTGTTCCTGGAATTTCCCTAGCTATGCTTAAAAGGACCTGTGTGCCTTTGTCCTAGGTCGCCATTTTGTACAAATGGTGACCCTGCATGCTGGAATAAACACTCTTTGTCTTTGCATACTGGGGCCTTCCTTCAGCAAATCTAAAACCTTTACATGGGCTAGGAAGCAGAGAATGTTCTACAGGGTAAAGATAGCTTTCAAAGGCCAGCCCCTAGGGACCTACTCCCACCAACTAGGCTTCACTTCCGACAGGTCCCACAGCTTGGGGAAAAGTAGGGGGCTCCTGTTCAGATTCAAGCCATAGCACCCTGGGAAAAGGAACTAAACCAGGGGTTCTAACCCTCCTACCACTGTGACCCTAACACAGTTCTTTATGAAGTAGTGACCCCAACCAGAAAATTATATTTGTTACTTTTTCTTTTTTCCATGACAGGGTTTCTTTGTGTAAGAGCTCTGGCTTCATTACTACTTTTTAACTGTAACTTTGCTATTTCTGAATTGTAATATCTGATATGCAGGATATCTGATATCCAACTCCTGGGAAAGAGTCAGTCAACCCCAAAGGAATCTTGACATGCAGGTTGAGAACTACTGAATTAGAACTGAATTTAAGAACTGTTGGTCACAAGGTCTGAGTGGACAATGAAATCGGGTTTGTCACAAAACAAGGTCCCCAGGCAGAATATATGTGCATAGGGCGGGTAACAAATGGACTCCTGGCTCAGGCTTATCTCTCAGTGGACTGGTACAACTGATGAAATTACTTCCTTTACCTGGGGGCAAAAGTTATAGTTGGGAACAATCTTCATGCTGCCTCCAGACACCTTTGAGGCAAGAGTGTCAATGAGAACCTCACAGTAAATGACACAAGTTACTTCCATACTTAAAAGACCTAAAGGAAGGTAAGAGGTGATCCATTTCTTATCTTCATGCATGCATCTTTTTGTTGTTCGTTTTGTCTTTCCTTCTTTTTTTTTTTTATAACTTCTTTATTGACTCTTTGGGAGGTTCACATCATGCACCCTGATTGTTTAACCTTCTGGTCCCCCATATCCTCCCTTCATCCCTGCCACGCCCCCCATAAGGAAACAAATCAAACAAAAGCAAAACCAAAGACAAACCCACAACAA